GGCCACGTGGTGTCTGCCTGTCTATGTGCTTCTTACGTAGACGCTGAGGAGCAGAACTCAGGATTGATTCTCTATGGATTTTTGGTTTTACTTTTTCTAGATTCTCTTGTAACAGGTACACCAGGCCCAAACAACACCTATCCGTTAGGAAATGGAAACGTGCCAACCTGGTCTCCAAGGGTTGTGAGGAGATGGCAGAACAACATTATCGTATTTAAACTTCACTGGGGAATGTGGTCTTTCCTGAAACACTGCATTCCCCCTACTGTGCTCTAAAGAAAAGTACTGAGATTCTTCACTTTCTATATTTGATTCTGAAAGAAAAAAGAAAAAAACTGGTGGTCTAAGCAGCTCAGATTACATCTATGATAAAAAACTATTTAGTGAATCTTTTAAACTTCGTTTTGTCTCTAATACCATTGTCTTCCTGATGATCAGACTTCAATCACTTAGATGATATTTTGGTTTTAAATGACCCCTTGTTGCATCCCTGAGCAAATTTGGTGGGACTTAGATATTTTTTTTTTCATTTTAGAAAAATAAGAGGTCTCCTTTTGCTTCAGTCTCCATTAACTTTAGTATATGAAATCTAGTGAAACTTATTCTCAGCTGGTCCAAGACAACGGTAGACACTTTCTCCGACTGTAATCAACAGTACATCTTCTGGTTATCCATGTAGCCTCCACTCGCACATGCAGAAGGAGAAAAATGATGCTTTGCTTTGTCTGAATGGAAAGGTGCCTTCATGCCATTTCCTACACCCTTATTCAAGAACAAGCTGGTAACTCTGGGGAGAAAAAAAATGCCTGCAGATGTGTGCACCCATCTGTTCTCTGCAAACATGCCTTGCTTTTCTTCATATGCAGCTGGTAGGTGGTGAGGGTATCACCAAAGGCAAGCAGGCCAGGTAGGTGTCAAACCAAGGAAGGGAGACAGACTTTAAGACTAAACAGGTATTGACAAGAAAGCCTGACAGTGTGGACTTGCTGCAACAAAGTTGTCTGCTTCCTGTTGGCCCACAATCCTCTGCAGCATCTTTATTCTGAGTGCTTCTTAAAAATTCCTGATTATCTTTGGTAGACTTTAAAAAGCTTGCTTGTGTGTTCTTTGCATTGTAGATATAAGGCCACACTGGTATAGAGGTCTTGAATTCTTCATGCAGGCGGTCAGACAACTGCTGTTCTTCTCACTTTACTAGTACTTCACCAAGTTCTGGAAAATACAACCCAGTTTTCAGAGAAGCTCCCAGAGTCGTATCACACAAGCAGGAGTTTTCTTTTCATGTCATTTCTCTCTTTGGCTGTTTCATCTTTGGCTTTAAGGGGACAGTGTATGAATCCTAACAATGACTCCTTCCTAATTTTGTTTTGAATATGAATTGTAAAGTTTATTTCAAATTTCTCATAATAGGGGTTTCCTGTGTGACTATTGAGACTATAAACCATGATTGACTGAGTGGAAAGCAATTTATGGAATCTCTTTATTTTTTTCCTTCGGGGAGGAAACTGAAGTTCTGGGAAGTTAGGTGACTCCCTGCGGTTGCGCAGCTAGTAAAGAGAATAATTTTCCCCTCTTCCCTGTGATGCAGGATAGCAAATATGCCTGTTCACTTGGATACACAGATCACAGTAGCTGTTTAAAAACAGTCTGGAGACAGTTAGTATACATAGCATATTTTAGGGGCTTCAAAATTCTTCAGATGCCTTTGTATGTTTTGAATGTTTTTTTATGGCTTGACAAAAGAATATATGTGTGAGTGTGTGGGTGTGAGTGTGTGGGTGTGTGAAGCTTTCCATATTTTTTTTGCAGTCTTAACATTTCCTGAGTCACAAGAATATGGCTTAGCTTTACACTTACGACTTCTAAAGCTCTGTAGCCTGTAAGTAGACATGAGCAGAAGACCCAAGGGGTTCAGAGAACACATTGGCTTCATGCAGTTATAGGTCTGGATCTAAATAAGGATAAATTTGCAATATGTCTGGGAAACTCTAGCAGAAAACAAACCAAAAACTAAATTTATTCCATTTTAAAACTGAAATTTCAAGCTGGGTGGTGGTGATGTACGCCTTTAATCCTACCACTCAGGAGGCAAGTGGCTCTCCGTGAGGTTGAGGCCTGCCTGGTCTACAGCGAATTCTAGGAGAGTCAAGGCTACAAAGAGAAACCCTGCTTCAAGAAACTAAACCAAACCAAAGCAAACAAAACAAAGCAAAAAACCCAAAAACACAAGATTGAAATTTCTTCAGTTTTTACTTATTGTAAAGTGTCTTTATACTTGCATTAAATTCCTACCTAGAATGCCTAACTGGTCACAGTCTTTGAATAAATATATGCTTTATACCCTACCCCTCCTGAAGAGATTCCGTCATTATACACAAATTTCTGGAGTCTAGTGAGCCACCTCTCAGCATCTCTGTTAAGTGCTGAAGAGATATCACAATATGCTTGACTGGGGCATCTCTGTGAGCCCTGAAAAGATATCACAATATGCTTGACTGGGCATCTCCATGAGCCCTGAAGAGATATCACAATATGCTTGACTGGGCATCTCCGTGAGCCCTGAGTACTTCTCAGGGCTGGAACCTGGAAGCAGTGGCAGAATTCAAGGTCTGAATGGAATGAGTACTTTCCCACCAGCCCGTCCTCTTGCACGCTACAAGACTATCTGTTGTCTTAATAACCGGCTGCTCAGATGTCTGTGCTACACCAGCCTAGCAGCAGGATCTTCACCACTCCCTTCTCTGCATGCCATCCCCAGCTTTCTTGGCCTGGTCACTTGCTTCCATTTCAGCATGATTAGCCCACAGGCTGCCTGTGTTTTTTGTGAAGGAGGCTGATGAATGGGTCCTTGAAAGATATTAGGGTCACTACGTAGATGTGTGCATACATTATCTTAGGGTCACTATGTAGATGTATGTGTACATTATCTTGGGGTCACTACATAAATGTGTGCATACATTATCTTAGGGTCACAACACAGAAGTATACATCATCCTGTTTAGAAAGACTTTCCTGATGTGATTAAGACTGTTATCACAATGGTCTTTGTAAGCAGGAGGCATGAGGAACTGTCAGAAAAAGATTGGTGATGGGACCAGAGTTCAGATAGATGCTCCCGGAAAATGCGTGGCATGGTCAGAAACTAAGTGTGGTGGTTTGAAAGAGAATGGCCCACAGGCTCATATATCTGAACACGTAGGCCCCAGTTGGTGGAACTGTTTGGGAAGGATTAGGGGGTGTTACTCCATCCTTGGTGCGGGAGATGGGTCACTAGGGGGTCCCAGTCTCCCTCTTTCTCTGCTACCTGCTTGTGGATCAGATGCAAGCTGTCAGCTACTGCCCCGGCGCCATGCCTGCTTGCCTGCTGCCAAGCTTCCTGTTATGAAGGTCATGGACTCCAACCCCCGAAACTGTAAGCAAGCCCCCAATTAAATGCTCTCTTTTCTAAGTTGCATTGGACATGGTGTCTCTTCACAGAAATATAAAGGTAGTTAAGATATCGAAGAAGGTGAGAAGCTTCCAGAAACTAGAAAAGGGAAGAAAACATTCTTCTGTGAACCTCAGGAGAAAGGAAATCTATAGGCGCATTGGTTTGCTTATATCTGACTTCCTGAACTGTAAGGTTACAGTTTGTATTGTTTAAAGCCAATGTATTTGTGGTCATTCATTATGGAAGCAATAAGAATAATGCAATTATATATTAAGTACTCTCAAGATCATAATTATTGTATCAGGTATTATTCTCAGTGGAGCATCATGATATTTTAAAGACTTTTCTTTAAAATTAGTTTTTCAAAAACACATTTTCAAGGTTGTTTCTTATACACACATTTTGGGCAATTTTTGTATTTTTCATTAATACATTTATTCATTCAGCTTGTATTTATTAAGCAGATAAAGGAATGTATTACTGAAGACAAATGTATTTAGGACATAGCATGTGGTTCTAAGGAACTCATAAGTTAGTCCGAGGCGTTAAGACACTGTATAAATAACTGCTGCCCAAGGTACCACGCTGTATTATAGGCATACAAACCTGTTTTCTCACAATTATGTCGGTTCGCACTTGAGAGTCAGGTGCCGCTAGAGATATTTCCTTCGGAGGCCTCTCTCCTTTGCTTGGAGGTGGCATTTTTTTCCCCTTGAGCGGTCACATGGTCTTCGGTTTGTGCCTGCACCCTAGTCTCCTCTTACTAGAACACCAGCCATATTGGATCAGAGGCTAGTCTACTGAGCTTTAAGTCAGCTGTCTTTCTAAAGACTTTATCTCCATACAAGACATATTTTGAGATCCTGGGAGTTTAGATTTCAGGTAGAGTTCAGCTCACAACACAGTCAAGCTTCTGTTTTAAGCAAATTCAGAGCAGGGTGAGATACTCCAGGTAACTGTTAGTAACAGAATTTACTTAAAGCGATGTCTGCTGGTGGCGTGGCTCAGTGGATGAGGACACTCGACACCAAGTCTGATGACCTGGCTTTATTCCTTCCACTTGATAGAGGAAATAAGCGACTTATGCAAATTGTTTTCCAAGCTCCTTCTATACACACACACAAATAAATACATACTTGTAAAAGATGACCAAGTGATGACCAACAATCTTGTTGTGGGAGGCTCCTCACATCATATTGCTAACCTGGAGGAGAAATTCTGTTTAAAAGAGGTGGAGATAGTGAATACAGCAAAGGCTTTTAAATTGATTCTTTGGGAATTTCACATCATGGACCCCAATTCCACTCACCTCCCAGTCCCTCCATATCCTCCCTTCACCCTTGTAGTGTCCTCTTCCAAAAATAAAAAATAAAAAACCCCAAAAATTAAAAATATTAATTAAAAAAACCCAGGCAACAACAAAATAGCAAAACAAAAGCAAAAAAACCACTGGCTCCTCCGTCTTTCCCTCCTCTCCATCACCTTGTCGTCCATCTTAGTGGCATTGGGAGCTGCAGTGTGCCATGGAGTGTACTCTTTTGTCCAAACAGCTTTACTTGCAAATGTTCACTGTGTAATGAGTTGTTGGTCTGGTGCAAGGCCTCTGGCTTCTGGTACACCATCAATATCGCCTCATCGAAACTCCTCTCACATATCCTGCTGTTGCCCTGAGTCATGGAGATCCTGTGACCGTGGTTCCTTCCACAGGACCAGTTCCTTCACATCTGTCCACCTGTCATAGATAACAGATGTTGGGATGGGCCAACTCAAAGCCCTGGATGTGGGTCTGGGTGGTAGGAAGGCTCCATTCTGCCCCTTCCTGAGCTCTGTGAAGAGCTCCTTGGTGGGATTCCTCCATGCCTTTCCCAGGCTGCAAACAAAGCCGGCAACTAATGAATGACCCTTCTGATAATCTGACCTTTTGGAGTAACCAAATTTACTGCCATGAACTTTAGTGTGCTTCCAGGAGCTGCCTCATCCAGGTTTATAGGCGTTTCTTGGCTAAGACAAAAATAAATAGATGTTTATTGTTCCATTAAGACAATGTATTCCAATAGAAAGAGCAAGGTATATATTTAACATGTTAGGTAAGCAAAATATGCTAAGTTCCTTGGGGTCCCAATTATTCAAAGGCAAGGTCTAACCCAGAGGTGAGCTCTGATCCTGTTACAAACACAGAGAATATTCACACAAATCCTTTCATTTCCCTATCAATGGCAGTAAAAATGCTCAGCCTGCTGGGGACACATTGGAGCCTGTGATTTTGTTAAACTTAATTTGGCACACCACCGTTAAAGTGCTGCAGATGCAAAGGTGTGTCCCAGAGGTTGAGATCCTCGATATGGAAAGATACCACGTACATAGAAGATGCACCACACATTAATGCGTGAGGTACCATGTAAGAAACCGGATAACGGATTTGAGCACCTTTGAATTTTTAGGCACAGGAAAAATAATAAAAAAGGAGATTTCACCTTTAGGTTACTCATTTGATTGTATAAGTGTCTGCTACCATGTGACTTACTTACACTTTTTTTTTTTTGGCTATCCTCTATCATTTCAGACAAATTGTGCTACTATAGAATTTTGAATGTAATTTAGTTCTCAAGTCCCAAATAACCCTGCTAGAGGTAGAAAATGAATGTTTTCATGTGAAGAAATAAAATGGTAGGCTGGGGAGATGCCCAGCAATGACAGTTAAAATGCTGCTTTTTCTAACTTAGTATTGTTTCAATTGTAGGGTAATTGAATTCAATTGTCTGAAGAGTATTTATTTGCTAGCAACATGTGAGTGTGTTTAATGGCAGTACATAGTTTTTAGCAGAAGTTTCTACAATGTTGATTCACCTCAAGCCACACTGTTTTCTAGATCGGCTGTGTTGGGTATTAAGGAAGGCCCCCTAGCTAACCACAGATAGGAATCAATTATAGCTCACAAGTGTTTGTATTGATGGTACTGTTATCATGGAGCAAGCACAGGAAAGTGCTCCTTAGCAACACTCTTTCTGTAGTAAGGAGATGCTGTCGCATACTTTGGGAAGAGATGGAGATATCCAGGGGTGCAGAGATGATGCTTTCAGAGAAGCAGCTGGCATCCCTTATAATCAAATCTACAGCAACTGACATCCCTTATAATGAAGTCTAAGACTCAAGTTACTATCTTTTTGATAGTAAAGTTGTGCAAACTTGGGTAGAGGAGATGTTACAGACACGGAATGGGTCACTCAGAGTCGCAAGGCACAAATACATAAGTCTCAGGTAGGCAGAGTCAGTTCAAGGATTTTACTTCAGAGAGGTGCAAACGATTTCCAAGACGGGTCTGAAGAAAAGAAGAGCCAGCAGGGCAAAATTTCTCCTCCTTTTAACTATGTGTGCTCTCAGTAAAGCAAGGCAAGGGAGTCGACAGCAACCTCAGACAGAGACAGTTGTCTGTGGGTCTTTTCTAATGCCTGAGGCTTTATAATTATGTCTTGTTGTCTCCTCTGGGCCCCTTCCTTTCTGGAACGTCAACATCTTCCCTTTCTTTGCCCTCTGCAGATCATTTGCTCTTGGCCATGCTTCCCGAGACATCTCTTCAGAGCACTGCCCCCCAGCACTCCCTTCTCCAGATTCTGTGTGTAGGTGCTCGCTTCCTGTGGACAAGCTTGGCTCCATCTCAGGTCTCCTCGGTGCCAACGAAACCAATCTCTTTATTTCTGAAATTAATGGATGTGCTCAGAGTTAGTGTCATTGTTTTTGGAACCTCAAGGCATACTTGGATCTACAGGCTGTAAAAGGCCTAAATGGATAGAAAGTTTTAATAATTTGATAGTTACCATTACATTTTTTTGAAAATGACTTTTTCTTGAATACAATGGAATCCGTTCAGAGTTTCTTAATGATCTATATGGCTATGCTATTATACCAGTGGAGCCATACAGATATCACAAGCTATCATAAGAATAGGATAAGTTTCAAATTTTAAAGCAAATCTGTGCTTTGCTCAAGTCACCTTAATATTTTATGAATTTCTTACAACACTGTGCTTCAGTTAAGGAGTAGCTAAGCCACTGTAAACCAAGTTATAGATTGTCAAACGTGTTCATTCTTTTCTAAACAGCATCATGGAACACGTTATAAAAAATTTGTCTTTTGTAGTTTAGAAATTTTCTTGTTGATAAAAATTTTTAAATGAAAAAATTGCATTTGTTGCTGTTCAGATCTTTGACATGAGATGCAACCCATCTGAATTGTCTCTTCATGCTTATCTAAAAACTGGATTCCAGTCTAGGTACCTATCAATAAAACATGGGGGGAACAAATAGTCCTGTTGTGTTTTGAAGTAAGATTCAATGAGACAGCAGCAAATTTCCTGCCTAGATGGAAGGCACTCTGTGCTGACAGTTGCCTTAAATGTCTCAACACTGTGTCGAAGCCAGGACACAGCAGAGCATCCTTTCTGATTCAGATGTTGGCTGTAGGTAATCCGGTCCACCTTCAGGGGACAGAGTCTGAAATATGGCCTTGATTTCATGATCTTGAAGAATATAGAATGCATAACAAAATTCGGTTGTTTATGAGAAAACACACCATGTTTGTACCTACACTGCAAGACAATTAAGTAAGATGTAAGCTATATAAAATCCAGACAGTTGAAGATTTAATTTCACTTTTGTGTCTAAATGATACATGCATATTTTAAAGCCAGAAAAGTCTTGTAAACGTTCTCCAACTCTTCTGTGACTAATCAAAACGAAATTGAAGTAAGATGGGAGGTACATACTCAATTATGCAATCACTTGCTTCCTGGCCTTGCAAACTTAGCTAAACGTAATTTCTTTTTGTCAGCCTAACTTATATATATATATATATATATATATATATATATATACACACACACACACATATATATATATATATGTATAGAGAGAGAGAGAGAGAGAGAGAGAAGCATCATCACGTTTGTGCTTGGCATGGCAAATCTGGTCATTTGCTGGCATCCAGTCACGTGCTTTTCTGAAGTCTCATTCTTTGTTTTACCATATTTCCCTAAAGCATGAAGATCTGTGCTGCTTAACTTCAGTCAGCCTTTGTTGTTTCCCTTCAGAATGTACGAGTCAGATTCCATGCGCTTCAAAATTTCATATTTCTCTTGATCAGACCTGCTGGATGCCACTTCCTTCTTTCCATCTGTTTCTTCTGTGAAGAAGTCACCCTTCCCTCCAGGAAAGGAGTTGATAAAACTCGGAAGGTCCTGTTTATTTCAGCTTCTTTACTCTGAGAGGGTAGCTGGAGAGACCAAGGAGAAAGAAAGAATGGTCAGAAGGATCTAATGATCTAAGAAAGAGATTTAGAATTTCAAATTAAAACCATACACACACACACACATATATTTGTCATAAAATTCTGAACCAATTTTTTGATCCATAGAAATGTAAATTAAAATAGTCAGTTAATTCTGCCTTCCATTGAAAGTCAATTTTGTCAACCATTTTTCTCATTAAAACATTTTAGAGCTAAACCAACAACAAAATTACGTCTTCAGAAATGTGATTAGATTTCCTAAAAGAACATCAATCTATTTAGAGAACAGACTTGGCATTTTTAAGCATGTGTCTACATCAGCGCTTTTCTTCTGTGGGCAGAATGCTGTAGTGAAAAGTATGTGAGATTCTGGAGTTAGACGAACTGGGCGTGACTCCCAGCCTGCCCTAGCAGCTGCGTGACCTTGGGGTAGGTCATTTCATCTGTCAAGGCTTCTTTTTCTTACCTGTCAAATTAAAAAAAAGTGAAAGAACCTTTCAGGTTTGGTGTATGGATCACATGAGTAATACGAGTGAAAGAAAGTGCTTTGCTGACTGTGAAGCATGATACAAAGTACAGTCATTTTATTTCAGATGAACTTGAGTTAGAATATACTAAACAAAGCAGATGACTGTTAACACCCACGTTAACCCTGTTTTTTTTTTTTAATTAACCAATTGTCAATGTGTTGAGTTTTTTGGATAATGTCTGAAATTATTCAATCTAGAAAAAAAGAAGCTTGTTTTAAAGACCATCCCTCCCCTTTAAGCTGAATCATATGACTCTCACCTCAAATTTTACCACACATTAGGAGCACTGTCCTCTCCTTCGGAGAATCTGTAAGAGACGATAATGGAAGGAAGTCCCTGAGTGTGGAAACCACTCACCTCTTGGACATAGTGAGCACAGTGTCAGGGTTCTACTCTGCTTGGAGGTGTCCACAAGAGTATTTTACTTTCTTGAGAATGAACTTCGAGGTCCAAGTAAGCATTTTAATATATGTTATTAAAATGGTAACTTTTGGGGTAGTATTATAAAACACAATATTTAATGTTTATCATAACCCTGAGTCCCCCGTGATGAATTAGTCAAAGAACTCAGTTACCTGCAACCCAAGGCACACCAAAGCACTTCTCCAACAACAGTGGCACTGCCAAGAATCGCAGATACAGTTGATTACCTCTGTCTGGGAAACAGGGAAGGCTGCATCATGGAGCTGATGTTTAGATCAGTCATTTGGATAAGGAAGAGCATGTCTGAAAGAAAAGTCATGGAGCTGTGGAGGAAACAGTGTTATAATGTAGCATTGCTAGCATCAACAGCGTTCTCCTCCTTGTATGTGGGATGGGGTGTAGGTAATCAATGCTAACTATGTAGTAAAATCTTGCCGAATTTTCTCCAGTTTTGCGTTAAATTCCTAAATTCCAAAAGCACCTACAGAAACTTAATGAGTGAACAGTAGATTGTCCTTAAGCTAATGAGATTAGGTAAAGTTAATTAGTACACCATGTTATTTTATGTATCAGTTATTATCTGACTACAACAGAGACTGACTCTAGCTAATTTTGCCAGTCAAGAAAGAAAAAGAACAAAGGAGATTAGAAGCTGCTCTCACTAACAGACTGGTGTTCTTTGTAAGATCACCAAAACTAGGTTATCCCGTTCAATCTGGAGGTTCAGCTTTATCAGAAAACTCATCATACCAATACCAATCATTGGTCCACACCCAGATTATCTAGCTGAAAATATGCAAGCTGAACCATGCTTAGTGTCTTGCGAAAACTGATACAGAGTATGTGGTACCATTCCAAAAGTCCTGTCCCTTTTCTAAAATCAGATTCTTCCTTATAGCCTAGGTTTCTGCTCTTTCTTCTCACTTTTTCTTTACTCTCCAATCATCTCTAAGTGCCTATGTGTAGGACTGACACTAATTCTCTGAAGAGTGCACTGGGCTGGTTATTTGTACCTGAGATTGTGCTAACGCTTGGTTCTGATGTTTTAATGTATCCTTCTGTCGTGCTGTTCTGAAAAGTTGTTGACCATGTGCACCAGTGGTTAGACATTTTTCATAGCATTTTGACTTGAATCTAAATGTACCCCATTGGCTTCTGTTTCTGAATAGTCGGTTCATAGCTTGTTCTCTTTTGATGGTTCTGCAGCCTTTATGAAATAGGACCTAGTTGGTGGAAATAGGTCACTCTGGATGGACCGTTGAAGGATACACCCATTTCTGATTCTAACATCAGTCTCTGCTTTCTGGCCAGCCACAGTGTGAGCAACCGCTCCAACCGGCTTTTCTGCCGCCAGGGATTGAGTCACTCAGCCCGGCCTTCTCTGTTACGGTGAGCTGAAATCCCTCTAAAATACGATCCAGAGTAAACCTCTCCTTCCTTAATTGTCTCTATCAGGCATTTCTTCAGAAGAAACAACCAACACAATGCCTTCCCTGCCATGATGCTCTGCCATGTCACAGGGCCACGAGCTAGAAAGCCATCAGACTCTATCTATCTGTCTGTCTGTCTGCCTATCTATCTATCTATCTATCTATCTATCTATCTATCTATCTATCTATCCATCCATCTATTTATCTATCATCTATCCATCTATCTGTCTATTCATATGTATGTATATCCTTTAAGTTTCTGTTCTTAAATACTTGATCACAGCCTCTGGAAACTGAGCTCTGTAATGGCAAACTGTGAGGAATCACTTGGGGTAACCTCTAGCAAGCCCTGGTTTTTTTTCTATGATTTGTTTGTTGTTTGGCTTGGTTTTATAAACTGAGGACTCTTGTTTAAAAGTCTGTTCCACTGTACTTACCTGGTTAACTCCTGCACACCCCCCAGTCTCACTCTATGGTCAGATTCCTTAAGGACAGTTTCCACTAATGGTTCCCAAAGCCTTGATTTGTCAGTCCCCTTAGGTGTCCGTACTTGTCCTGTGAAAATAGTCATATAGAACAGCAATTCCTTCTATTGATTTGTATGCTAAAATTTGAACTCTTGTAATTCTGTATTTCTGTCCAGAGTTGGTTTATATTTTACTTCAGAAAGCATCTTTTATATTTAAACCTCTCAATGTGAAATGCTGCTGCATGCCAGATGCTTTAAATGCATTATTTCATCCATTTTTAAATCATATTTGAAAATATAGGCTTATGAAGCACTTAGGAAGTGGGGATAGGAAGACCAGGAGTTCAAGGACAACCTCCACTATATGAGAATGTGTTTCAAAAAACAACAGCAAAAAGACAAAATAATGAACAATAAATAGATTTATGAGTAAGATGGGTTTTTAAGTAAAGAAATAGTCACTTAAGGAATTCAAGCAAATCATCTATTGCTACCCAAATGACTGCATTTTCTAAGTAGCAAGGTACTGTAGATTATAAAAATAAAACAAGATAGAAATAAACCCACAAGACATTATTTACTTCCTAATAGCTTTTCATGGAGAAGAACACACTGTATAGGTGCACATTAATTCCAACACTGATCCAGTCAAACACATGGAAGCTGAGAGTGAGGGGCAGCCAGGTGAATTCGGGATTGTGTAATTCTGGAACACACACACACACACACACACACACACACACACACACACACACACACACTGTGCCTCTGCATTCTTCAGAGTCACAGGCTTTTAGTTACAGTGTTTGTAAAAGACTTGTGAAATAAACACTACTCTTTTTGAAATTGTGAAAATAATCCCACCGAGAGTAGAAGTGAGTATACAAACAAGAACTGAATAAAATCCCAAATTGCCCCCACATCACTAAACACAAACTTGCCAGAATATTGGTGCTTTAGATGTCAAAGAAGGTGATGAGTGGAATATTGACTAGTGTGTTTGCTACCTTACATGGCTCTGTTCACTTAATCCTTATTGTAGGCTCAAGCTACATAAAGTATCCATGTCCAGAAAGGGAGGTAAAGAAGCTGGCTTAATTCATACACTAACACAAAGCAGGGGTTATAGAAACCCAGAGAGACCGACTTTGGAGTCCACAGATTGTGAGGGCAGTTGGTAGAAAATCCCATGGTCCCCAGACCTTAGGGTTGCAGCGGTGTTTTTGAGCACTTGCGCCAAGTTCTTGCAGAGGAGTGCTTCCTGTCAGAGCTGCCTTCTACATGGGGCAGCCTGAGTTGCTGTGGCAGTGGGATCCTTCCAGAACCCCACTGTGTTTCCAGACCGGATTTTACCACTGTTGGTTTTGACAGCATTCCATTCTTTGGATCAGAGCCCAACAGAGGGATTAGTCATTGGGTTGTGGCATGATTTTGTCACTAGACTAAAATCTGTGGTCAGGCTCTGTGTTTTGTTTCTGGTTCGTGTCTGGCAAAGCTAAGGACTACTCAGCAATTACTCTCAATATTAATGATCTGTATAAAAGGCCAAACAGGAGCAATTTTACTTTTAGACAACAACAACGAAGGGCACATCATAAGAAATGAGGTTCTTTTTTTTTCGGTTTTTACGAGACAGGGTTTCTCTGTATTGTTTTGGAGGCTATCTGTCCAGCCCAGCCTCGAACTCACAGAGATCCTCCTGCCTCTGCCTCCCGAGTGCTGGGATTAAAGGCGTGCACCACCACCGCCCGGCGAAATGAGGTTCTTTTATCAGTCAGCACGAACCCACTCAGCCCCTTTGATACATGAGAGAAAGTGTTCTGTCAGGTGAATAAATCAGGGGGATTCTCGAAGATCCAGGTCATCCCTGGAATCCATTATAGTAGGTTATTTTCAAGCGTCGTGTCTCATGCCTATAATCTCATATCTCAAGACAAAGGCATGATGGTTGCAATTTTGAGGCCAGCCTGGGCTGCATAGTGAGTGAGGGTCTGCCTCTCCTTTCTGTGCCCTCCCCACACCAAAAAAGCAAAAATAAAACAAAGAAGAATGGAAGAATGAAGGAAGGAAGGGAAGGACGGAGGAAAGGAAGGATGGAAGGAAGTAAGGAAAAGAAATAGATTTCCAAATTCACCTTCTCTTTGGCTAGGAGAAGGTATTTAAGTTTTAGTACACAAAATGTATAACTATATATGACAGTCTGGTTTATATTACGGGTCTCCATTTTGTGGTGTGTGTTTGTGTTTCTGTGTATATATGTGTAGGAAGGAATACTGTCCTTGTGTCTTTCCTAAGAAATTTCTATTTCTGTCTAGCTTATAAAGATAGACAGTGAGAGCTTCTATTGATTTATACTTTATTCACTGTCCATGTCACTCTACTTTTCAAGGACAGTGCCTTAGATTGAGTGGTTATTATTTTCATCCTTATATTATGATTTATCTATAATTTATATTGGATATTTTCAATGTTTAGAAACAAAACTATCAAACCCTAAAACATTGTATGAATTCTCTAATGATTTTCATCTCCTGTGTTTATTGAGCCACTAGAAAAATAGTGAAATCTAGTGTCACACAAGGGTGAATTCTATTTCTTTTCCAGATGTGTGCTGGAATATTTTAACATTGTAATATTTTACATATGTATGTGTCCATGTACTTGACTGTATTCATGACAAGGCACATGTGTGGAGGTCAGAGGGCAATATGGAGGAGCTAGGTCCCCCCTTCCGCCATGTGGATCACAGGGGTCAGACCCAGGTCCTCAGGTTCATTCACAAGTGCCTTACCTGCTTAGTAGCCTTATAGGCCTACCACTAATTCTTTTTCAAGTAGGGCTTCTTAAAGTTTACATTTGAACACTGTCTCAGATTACTTAGATACACAAACGTTCTGAAAATATAGGAATTTAACAGATATATCAAGACAGGTTCTCACTGTATAGTCCAGGCTAAATTGAACACAAAGAGATCTACTTGCCTCTATCTCTTATCAAAGGCATGCGTTACCATACCCAGGTCAATTAACACATGCTTGTACTGACTATAACTCTACTACTACAGTGTAGCTTTTAGGAGTGATATTCGTGTTTATTTTTAATAAGTACCAAAGGCCATTTAAAGGCCATGTTTAGTTATTTTGGGGGGAAGTACTTGTTTTCTCTCCATTTACAAGCCCTCAACTTAGAACCTTGCCTCCTTGTCTCCAGGTGCATTTGGAAATGTGATGTCTCAGCTGCCATCAGTATCTGGTGTTTATGTTAATTCTGAATTCCCGGCGTGGTACCGAAACAGAGTCCTGTCCCTGCCCTCACTCTGAGGATGATTCACTCAGTGTGGGAGAGGTTTGTAGATGGAAAGTGCTCTGCTCTCTCCTTCAGTAACCAAGGCAAACACATCTTGCTGAGAGGGTGTCCAAGTACCATCGAAGGCCATACAAGAGCATCTAGACCAAAAGCTAACCCCACTGAAGGTCATAGAAAAGTGTCTAGAAGAATAGCTAACCCCACTGAAGGCCTTAGAAAAGTGTCTAGACCAAAAGCTAATCCCA